ATACTTTGTGTGAGCACATTGCAGCTTACATATCATGCATACTTTCTTATGCATTTCTTTTTTCAATCGGACCAGGTTTTATAGGATGTAAAAGGTCAAATTATTAGTTCAAAGCCTTGGAACAAGCAGGGGAACCGCAGAGTACAGGCCAAATATAGCTAATCTACAGACATACAGTGACTCACTGCCATAATCTCCTCCAATTGTGCTTGGGCAAGGTACAAAGTACATGTACACTTGAAAGACTAGACTATTTTGTAAGCCTTAAAGGGAAGATACAACATTTGCAAACATCGAAAAATAAAACTACCAAGTTTTTACGAAATACCTTACTAGGATGTTGGTAAATGACAGTGACAAGCATCCTGTAAAATTATGGCACCTGGTGTGAAGTCATTTTCAAGAAAATGGTATTTTTGTATACATTTCCAACGGTGGTCGGCCGACCACCGTTGGAAAAACCTAACTATTTGTCAACTACTGCTCCAACTTTACACTTTTTCCAGTCCAAATTGTGTTTACTATTGGTTACATGTTCATGAACGGGTGCAGGCCAGCTACAACTGGTTCCCTTACCTTACTATTTTCCGGCATCTACAAATTGATACATTTCGTCTTTAGTGAGTCAGAGAACCAGACTACTTGAACATTTTTGTTTTTCTTGGTTTTTCTAGCATTTTCGAACACAAAACTGCAAACATGTCAGTGTATCAATATTTGATCCATTATACTAACCCCTCAAATAGTTAATTTCTGAAAATTACAGCAAAAGCCAATGATGTACATTCCCTTTAATACATTGTGAAATAGGGGTATATTATGAAATACTCGTCAGGGCAAATTGTGAAATAAGGGTCACATCTGAATGCATGCTATTTTAGGCTCACTCCAAAAAACCTGTATCAGACCACACAATGAGTTCAGGAAACACACGCTAGTCCAGTGATTATTGGGTAAACATTTTTGTAGCTAGGGGTGCTCACGGACCCCACCGTTCGGCCTCAAAATTTGTCTTAACGATAGAAATTCTTACTGGAGGTCCCTGCATGGGAGTGCAGGAACACAAAATGGATTAATTTTGATGATGGTTTGAACAGCATGCGTCTCGTTTTATTTTTCAGCCTGCAGCTAAACTGGAATACTATTTTCCTTAACCCTAACCCCCTAGGCCCTTTTTGCTAAGAACCATCCTCAATCCTCCAAAATCCTCCAAAATTTTGCAACTCCGCCTAAATTTTTCAAATTGTCAGACAGTCCTGCCTCAAAATGCATTCATCGTCAATCCTCCAAAATCCTCCTCATCCCAAAATTTTGCACGATTTCGTGTTTAAATGAAGCATAACCAACGCCAAATCCTTCAAAATCATCAGACAGTCCTGCCTCAAAATGCATTCATCCTCAATCCTTCAAAATCCTCTTGTGCTTCAATCACCATTCATCCTCAATCCTCCAGAATCCTCATTTGATTCCATCACCATTCATCCTCAATCCTCCAGAATCCTCATGTGCTTCAATCACCATTCATCCTCAATCCTCTAGAATCCTCCAAAACCGCCAGGAGGATTTTGGAGGAGTGAGGTGGGTTTAATACACAAAATAATTACAGTTCATTGTATTTCAGCCAAATTTGACAAGGAAAAAAAACACCAAAAAGATAGCAATCCAAACCCTGAAGTAAAGTATCGAAAGGGGAAAGAAAACAGACACAGACATGACAGAGAGAGAAAAAAAGTAGAAAAGCCCATCCTTCAGGTCACATGTTCACAGATCTTCACTGATATTACTTTTTATTAGTGATAAATCTCAAACTTATTTTATTTCTCTTAACAATAAAACATATTAACTGCATGTTAACAATATTTTTGAGCACTACCACACACATTTCAACTAAATTTCAGGAGTAGGTTTATGGTGTAATTCGAGGACACACACGTGCAACATCATCGGTGTATTGAGGACGGGAACCAAATCGAGGACGACCTCGATTAAAAAACGTGTACAAAACCAACGTGAGCTGATAAACAAAGGAAAAGGAAAGAGGAACAATAGAAAATCCTTGATTTACACCATAAACAAATGAGTGTGTACATGTACATACATGTGCAAGTACATTCTACCACACTATCAAAGAAAAGTTCTGCTTTCTCTGTCCTATAAAACTGAAAATGTAAATGACATAAATACTGTTTGATACCCTCCCTACATCTTAATGTTTGCATTATCTATTCTTATTGAAGCCTAAAACTAGCACTCCATTCTTTGTACCAAAGAATTTGAATTTCATACTCCACATAACTATGCACACACATACATGTACACAGTTGGTGCGTTTGTTTAGCTCGCCCGGATCGACTCGGGTAAAGGCAGACGGATTAGCCACGACAGCCGGGCTAATCGAACGCTAAACCGCGGGCCGTGCACGATCCTCACGTGATGCGCGTAGCAACGGCAGTCATGGCCGTAGCCACAGACAAAATGCCCATTTCGGATTGGGTTTTAGTTGGAGATTTACTGCTTTTCAGTCAGTTGCAAAACTTAAAAAAAATTGGGCTGGAATTATAGCCTTTAAAGGGAATGTACATCATTGGCTTTTGCTGTAATTTTCAGAAATTAACTATTTGAGGGGTTAGTATAATAGGCCTAGATCAAATATTGTTTAACTGACATGTTTTGAAGTTTTGTGTTTCGAAAATGCTTGAAAAACCAAGAAAAACAAAAAATGTTTAAGTAGTCTGGTTCCCTGACTCCACTAAAGATAAAATGGATCAATTTATAGTTGTCGGAAAATTGTAAGGTAAGGGAACCAGTCTAGCTGGCCTGCACCCGTTCATGAACATGTAACCAATAGCAAACAAAATTTGGACTGAAAATTGTAAATTTGGAGCAGTAGTTGAAAAATAGTTAGGTTTTTCCAACGGTGATCGGCCGACCACCGTTGGAAATGTATACAAAAATACAAGTTTCTTGAAAATGACTTGACACCAGGTGCCATAATTTTACAGGATGCCTTAGACTGTCATTTACCAACATCCTAGTAAGGTATTTCGTGAAAACTTGGTAGTTTTATTTTTCGATGTTTGCAAATGTTTGTATATTCCCTTTCAGTTGCCATGCACTCAATAAATGATTACCTTTAGACTTCACAAGAAAGATATTTTTTTAAGTCCACTTGACATTTCCGCTGTCCGGCCGCCATATTTGTCCGTTTTATGGAATGAACAACGTATGCGTGTGACGTACATGTATTTCCACCAGTGACTCTGCTCCACAAGCAGGGTCTGTGGTGGCTGACCCAGGTGAGCCCCGAGAATGACGTCAGAGCTAATCCGGCTGACCCGTGTTGACCCGGGTGAGCTAAACGAACGCACCCTACAGTATGTACATACATGTACTACAATCTTCCTACAGAAAAAAAGAATTCACCTCTTTCTTATATCTATTCTGAAAATTACTTTTAATAGCCATCGAAAATGCTGCTTTTCATCCCCTCCTTGTCCTTGCATTGTTGAATTAAATTTGAAGGTCTGCAGAAGTAAATTTGGCCCTTATTTTGATATTTCAGTGTCTAGCAAAGCTCAAATATTATAATTTGCATTGCATGGCTACCGGTACATACGTGCATGCATCAGGATGTTTTTTATAAATTACGGACCGCATTGGACACAACTCCTCACTGCACTCACTGCACTTAATAATGCCCACATAAAAACACAAAGCTTCATTCTGTGGTCCTATTAGGCCTGATGAAATGAATGTTCAGGTTATTGTCTCTGAAGTCTGATCTTCCCACAGTGATCGCATTCATTTTAAAGCCAGAGTCCATCATTTGCAGCTATCCAAAAAGTGACTGCCATCATTATTGTTGGAAAACATTCTTGGTTGAAAGATAGTAAGGGGACTAAACTCCCTGTGAAATTATTCTTTCTGGCAAGCTGTCATTTTGAAGAAATCAACAAAAGAAGGCCTTTCCAACAGTGCTTCTTAAGACGCACCGTAGGAAATTTTCAATTAGTAGTTTGTTTTGTTATTCGGCAAAGCGCGCGCAAGCATTGGCACGACGCACATGCGCGCGGTTGCTATGCGCTGCACATACGCGCGGTTTCTATGCGCGCGCGGTTGCTATGCGCACGGTTGCTATGCGCGCGCAGTTGCTATAATTCGTCGGATCAGTGTGCGACATCGCGTAGCTGCAATCGGCTCAGTGAGAACGTGTATTGGACCTGAATTCAGGCCCAATTAAAAATGTGATTCAGCAACTTTTGATTTGAAATACAGATCCTAGAGTGTTATTTTTCTCAGAATATACAGCTGAAGCTGAGCTGAAACTTCATCAGGTTTAGTTGTTCTGTACCCTTCTTTAGATTTTGAGCACTTTTGTTGCTTCAGACGAACAAAATGTACAAATTACAAATGATGGACTATACCTTTAAAGCAATATTAAATCATTTACTGGCAGTGAATTTGGTCCCTCTGTAGAACTTTAAAGCTATAAACCATCATTTGCAGCCATCCGAAAAGTAACTGGCGTAATTACTGTTGAAAAACAAACTTGGTTGAAAGATAGTAAGGGAACTAAACTCCCTGTGAAATTATTCTTTCTGGGAAGCTGTCATTTTGAAGTAATCAACGAAAGAAGGCATTTCCAACGGTGATTCTTAAGAAGCACCATAGGAAAATTAAAATTAGTAGTTCGTTTTGTTATTCAGCGCAGCGCGCACAAGTATTAGAACGACGCACACGCGCGCGCGGTTGTTATAATTCGTCGGATCAGTGCGCGACGCCGCGTATAGCTGCAATTACAAAACAATTCAAAACATGATTCAGTAACTTATGATTTGAAATTGAGATCTTAGAATGCTGTTTTTCTCGGAATGTACAGCTGAAGCTTAGCTGAAACTTCATCAGGTTAGTTGCTCAGTATCCTTTATTAGATTTTGAACACTTTTGTTGCTTCAAACGAACAAAATGCACTAATTACAAATGATGGACTATAGCTTTAATTAGAATTGTCAAAGCAAAATCAATTCAATAGCAGACAAAAACATCTACATCTAGCAGTCTTTATTTTTGTAAATCTTTCGTCTGCCATTTTGCAAGTCCTTTGTTAATTTTCCTTCTTGAGTCCATTGGCGCACACAGAATTTGCGTCTTGCTTTTCAACATCTTTATGTATGGAGAGTGTGATGAGAATTTGTGAGGCGTAATACGTCGGCATGATGAGGTACTGTGCGTAGGGCAGCGGCATCGCAAACTTGTTCAGCGACAACACCGTGTCCGAGACTAAGAACAGGAACGCCCCCCAAAATGCGCAGAGCTTGGAGACGGAGGGGTTGCGGAAGTCCAAACGTGCCGCGGCCCGCCACAGCATCACCGTGATCAGCTGGCCGTACACGACGCCGGCCCAGAAAACCTTGAAGCTGACCCTCGGCGCCAGAATGGCGAACATGCTGACGTAGAACGGCATGTAGTAGGCCATGAACTTCCACCACATGGGCCGCTCGTGGAACGCGATGCTGTAAAAGAGGTGCGCCACGGCAAACGCCAGCATGCCTTGGATGAAGTAGTCCTTTTGGTAGACCAGGTAGGCGTCACCGGTCCCCGAGAACAGCAAGCCTATGAGGACGCAAGCGGTGTACCGGGTGAGGCCGTCCTGGAGAATATGCGTCCCGACGTACAGGCAGAGGAAAACGATCGGGAGGCACTTGTAGAGGACTCCCATAGGGCAGGGAGGTTCACCATGGGGGACCCAGTACAGGAGAAAGAACAAGGATGAGACTATGCAGGGGAAGAGCAGCAAGACTGAAGATTTGGTCTGGAAAGTAAACAAATTGGAAGCAAAAATTCAGAAAAATACAGGGTTTTTTTCTTCTGGTCAAATAAAAATATGTAATCATCAGTAAACTTCGGCCAAGTCGACATCGTACAACTCGTCAAAGTGCTCAAATCGGCGCTCTGTCCATTTTGGGGGTCGTCTAATTGAATGATGCAGTCGATATCTGCAATGATGCAGTCAATGCGTGCGTGGTATACACACTGTGCACGTATGTATTACTACTTTGCACCGAGGTCTCCACAATCAATACCCCAAACGTGATGATAAAATTCGAGGATTAATTTGCTGGATTCAACTCGAGCATTAAAGAGATAAACCAGGGTAAATCGAAGCCAATTAGTGCAATGAATCATGTGTGCAAAGGCCATTCATGTAAGTCAGCAAAATGACGACTTAATTACAGCAGATGTCGGCATTCGCGTAAGTCGTCACAAATCCTCGGGTCCCGAGAGTGCCGACTTAGCTGGAGTTTACTGTATTTATATGAAATGCTAAGTACTTGAATATGATCGGATATTCAAATATTCGGCTTAGTCGGCACAGCCTTACAAAACATCATTTTTCCAACAAAAACTGAACCACAAAAAAGTGTACAAAGTGGATTATGTGATGTGTAAAAAAGGCCTTGAAAAATACAGACGTGTGCATGAGAAAATGGAAAAATACTCACCATGAAATGTGACATCTCGTCGATGAATCGTGAATTTAAAGCAGATGGGCAATGAAGCATTGACAGCATGAACGGCGAAAATGTGCGCTCAGAAAGATAACAATTCAGTGCTCCAGATGATCTTATCACAAGCGATTGATAGGGTTTGTAGCTATTTTTATGAATTTCAACTGCCCTAGGATGTACACAACATGTATTAGTAATTCCACGAGCGTGCGTGGAACACGGAATAATGTAGTGCGTCTGTGTCCCACATGCCAAGAGGCCGAAGGCAGACGAACTTCATTTTCCATGTTCCACAAGCGCGAGTGGGGAAACAAACTGATCTTCAAGCAAATTTGACACACAGTTAGTTAAGATGGAATACGCACCATGCGCTTAACAGTGGTTTATTACATGTGCACACATGTACATGTGCGTGCAGCGGAAATGGCGCAGGCATATATTAGAAAAGCGCGATTAACGGCGTGTCACTGTTTGTTGCCATGGAGTTTGCTTGAAGATAAAAAGCTGTGTAAAGCTTAGGCCAAGTTCGGGCAAGGACCATAGTCGACTAGTGGTTGATTTGTGACGTACATGTACCTTACGCCTGCGCACTGATAGCAACGTGCGAACGCCTCTAGTCAAACGCTGGTCAAAATGTCATCGCAAAACTTCTAGATCCTGGCTCTCTGCTAGCGTTATGAATGCGCACGGCTATTGGTTACCAGCGAAGCAACCAACCCCAGTAGGCTGGTTCCAAATAGTCGACTAGCGTAGTCAACCACCGTCGACTAGACAGAGTTCGGGCAAACGTTAGTTAACCATTGGTCAACTATAGTCCTTGCGCGAACTTGGCCAAAAATGCGTTCAACACTTCATCAAACTAAACTGTACATTATTAATTAATTAAACTTGTGTAGCCAAATGAATGTGTCTCAAATACCGGACTTCTTCCGTATTTTATAGAGCTACATGTACTCTGTTTACTCAGCAATGAAATGTATTTTCTGAGAAGTTGCATTTCCTACATTTGAATTCCTTTTCACTTGTTTTTACATGTATACACGAAAGTTACTTACCTGGTTATAACCAGGGGGAAAAAAATGAATTCTGTACTTCTAGGGGAAATTATTTGGCAATTCAGGAAAAACGACTCCAGAGGAAATTTAGCATCGCTGTGCAGCTTGAATTACGGAAGAAACCCAGTAGTACACAATTTTAAAGGGGTTAAAACCCATGAACAGTTTGAAGAATACCAGATGTGGACAGCAAAGATGGGCCACTTAGACTTGTTTCAACACAAACATGCAGGTACGTTCCTGTAGAGTGCAGTGTAGGATTTGGGCACAAACTTCTTCAGGAAAAAAATAATCCGAGTCACTTACTATGGGTAGGGCTCTACATATCGCCTTTTTAACATCTGGTCATGATCTGGCAATAGTAGATCAAGACCTGATGTTAAAAAGGCGATTTGGATTATACTTCATTGTACTCTGATACCTGTAAATTCACCGATGTTGGTAATCACAATAAATGAATAAATTTGTAGAGTCCTGGTTAGCACTTCTGGGGAAAAAATAGACCCAGTAACTGGGGCGCTTAGAACTTCCTTTTTTTGAATTTTGACTTTGGTTGGTCGTCAAAATTCTGGAAAAAAAAGAGTTCTAGCACCCCCGTTTTACAGTCATGTTAGTTTGAAACTTTGCATGGGGCTAGTGTATATTACTATACCTCATGAATATTCATCAGGCAACCACAGCATTTCATTGGTCCACTCCAGCAACTCCACCATGTGAAAGTTTTTACTAGATCACCTCGTGTCTTCGTACGCGCTCGTGATGCGCAAAAACCAGGGAGGTACTGTCACACACCTGGATCGCAGCCTTAGATTTGTTCCAGTACTGTGTTATCTCTTTACCAATGACGCATGCACTTTACGTGCGTACCGTGGAGAACACCAGTGAGGACAGTTGCATGTGCCAGTCTCACGGCATACATGTACATCAAAATGGCGACCGGTGGTGTTTGCTTTGCGATTTTAACCGATGAGGAAATGGGTGAAATTTTTCACAATATAAATTTACTTTCTACGGTCTCCTTAAATTAAAATACTGCATGATCAAGACATGGTGGAATGGATGAATGAAATACCACAGCTGCCTGATGAATATGAGGTATTGTAAAACAATTAAAACATGTTTTTGCGGGGAAATAGTGAATACAAATGACCCCTCGGTGTTGGATGACTGGGACTATCTCCCTCAGCTTTGCCTGGGGAGATACATGTAGTCCCAATCTTCCAACACCTCAGGGTCATAAGTTTTCACTATTTCCCAACAAACCATGTTGTATTACATGCAATACTAGTACTAGCATGACTAGTGAAGTTTGCGGCAACTAATTCTGAAACTGAAAGTGAAACAAGCAAAATAGGTTAAATTTTGTAAGAACATACTAGAAAAATGTAAGCCAGTTCCTCAACACCATATGCATCACTGCATGTATAAATATAACATACATTGAGGGTTAGTAGGGCAGACCATGGGCAAGCGAAGGAAGTCTATTTATCTTGCATTTTGCAATCATAATCCCGTTCATGTTCAGCGCGATCGGGCGATCAGACTTCAGAGGCGCTGTACCGTTCACTTCCTCAAGTTTCTGTCGCACTAGGCCTAGTCGAGATTTGTGAAATCCTCACGAATTTCTGCCTTAACAAATAACATTGTTAGCGAAAAATACAAACACAAACGGTCTTGAAGTACTTACTATTTTAATGATGCCCATCTTGATTCAAAATATTTCGAGTAAAATGGTTAAAATGTGGTCAACAATTTGATACAATTTCCATGAATTCAGAACCGGCCTCGTGAGTGTTGTAATCTGAATGTACTTTGTCCATGCAAATCGATGTGGCCGCGCCGGCCCGGGCACTGCAGTGTGTGTGCGTCACATATGCTGAGCACGTGACATTGTTGATAAACGACAGTGCACGTGACTTATTTACGTGACGTCAACCAGTACACCTGTTTCATTGGTTATGTGTTATCTCATTTAAATAATAATCGCAGATGTGTAAAATGACGTAGGCGTATCCAATAATCTTTCTGGGAACCAAAACCTAACCCACGAAGAAATGATTTCTTTGCCGATAGCGTTATTGTGTAGCGGGTTACTGACTGAAGTGAATTCCGAAGATGAACACTTTGTAAAACGTCGGGGTATTTATCATGCATATTAATAAGAATTTATTTTTTCGCTGTTTTTTAGTTCTATAAATGCATATATTTTTGGGAGGCGACTTGACACAATTGTCTTATCACTCTTATGCAAAAAGGAACCGCCTTGGTAGCTTGCCCAAGTTAATTTTGGTCGATAACCCGTCACGTTGCTTTCCCCGTGGCCGTGAAATTTCAAGGCTTCGTTCCAAAAAGTACGGTTTTTAAATTGCAAATTAGTAATAATATTAATAATAATTAACTCTTAATATAGCGCTTTACACAAAATATCTCAAAAGCGCTTTTTTAGCAGCAGTACAAAAGTTCTGCACTCTCCAAGAAGAATTCACATATTTAGTTGAAAATTTATTTCCGGCCGGCCTGACAGAATTTCGGCTCGGGTCATTATCAGCATCAATTAGACTCCAAACCGGTCTTAAACATACTGTTTAATTAAAACCGGCCAAGCACAAGTCATGTTTATTCCCATAATATTCAATAATACCTTTTCGCCGGTCAAATATTTAGTAAACTATTTCCAACGATTTTGTACACCAAGTTTTCTTCACGTTTTTTTCTTAAACATCCCTCTAGATAGCTAGCTGGCTAAGTTATGGCATGTGCCTCTTGCAAGTAGTAAACAACTCTATATGAAGATTGTATGGCGCGTCAGGTGCCGGTTGCGCGTACTGCGCGATATGTGGCGCAGAACGCCCTGCCAGGTGCCGTTGTTGGTGCACATTGCTCCATCCACAACCTATAACCACCCCAACCTATAACCATTTTCGGAAGTTTTAGAAAGTTGATTTTGTTTTTAGCTCAACTTTGATTCTTTTGTCATTGAGCGGCCCTTCCATATGTGCTTACACCCCAAAACAGATGTGCTTTTTGAATTGCCGCTAGTAATGCAAAAGTTTATTCACTTTTGTATAAGAAACCAAAGAAGAAATCGACCATCGTTTTAAATCTATTATTGAATTTTATTTTACAAAATGGATTATTTTGCGGCCTGACAAAATTCCTTCCTCCATGACAAAATTAATCACGGCTCTCGCAGGCCGGGCGGATTGCTTTTTTTCCCCCAAATGAAAGCCCTTTTTTTTGAGAGGATTGCAAACGTCCAAAATCGGAGAAAGATTTTTTGTATTTTGTCTTTCTTTAAAACAAAACATATAAATTGAAAATTCGTGAGAGAGAAAAATTTAAGTTTGAAGACCACGGAAAACACAAGGAGCACTTCCTGTTCATGATGCCAACACTTGAGGTCTCACTTCAACTCCAGTGAATGCCGCTGGTTCACGTGCGAAGAGTACCATCATCAAGCCATTGCATGCACACATGAAATGCATATTGCTCGGCCTTTTGCATTGAAGGCGATCGGCCCGCTGAAACGAAGTAAGGGAAACAGAAATAATATCGCCTAAAATCATCGAAATCCCTCAATCATTGAAACGATTGAATCGCAATATATCAAGTTTATATAGATATGAAAGCTAAGCGTATATTTTTTTTAATTATTGATGTAGTAGAGGCACGTAAAATAAACGTCATTATAGAGGAGTAGTTGAATGTCGAAATTTGTGAACTATTGCATCGAAGTTATGATAAATAATTCATTGATTCACTAAAGGCCTACAACGTTCATTCCTGAATATCTTAATTTTACATACATAGGCCTGTAGGCTAGTTCGAGTAACTAGGACTCTGCATATCGCCTTTTTTAAAACATAGTCAATAGGCCAGCGCCAGTCGATTTGATCATGATGATTTGGCGAATGGCATCATCAACAATGTCAACATGGTCATGGATTACTCCTAGAACTATGAGGCTCCGGGTGAGCGGAGCCTCATAGATGTAGAAGCCTGCAAAATTGTCTGCAGCACAAAATACTAATAAAGTACAAAAACGTCCATCAAAATGCAGACATTTCACACAGAACCGCTGCACAGTTTGCCCCTATTCTCCATATTTTACCTCTTGACATACTCACGTATCTTGGGCACAACTAACATAGGTGGATTCTGTCGGTTTTTAGGCCAAAATGATGAAAAATATGCCCTTTCCGCACTGAGCCAACCGAACACTTGAAACGTGCACGCATATGATCGAGCAATGATTTTCGGTTCGCTCGGAGCGCGCCGCGGGGGGTACGGTACATGCACTTGTACGCATGCACATACTATCATTTCGCCTTGTACCGTACCCCCCGCAGCGCGCTCCGAGCGAACTGAAAATCATCGCTCGATCATATGCGTGCACGTTTCAAGTGTTCGGTTGGCTCAGTGCGGAAAGGGCATATTTTTCATCATTTTGGCCTAAAAACCGACAGAATCCACCTATGTTAGTTGTGCCCAAGATACGTGAGTATGTCAAGAGGTAAAATACGGAGAATAGGGGCAAACTGTGCGGCGGTTCAGTGTGAAATGTCTCCATTTTGATGGACGTTTTTGTACTTTATTAGTGTTTTGTGCTGCAGACAATTTTGCGGGCTTCTACATCTATGAGGCTCCGCTCACGCGGAGCCTCATAGTTCTAGGAGTAGTCATGGATGACATGCATGACATGGGACAATCTATCCACCTCGTAGCCGGCTACGGAGTCACGGTTGATTGCCCTCAATAAACCTTCTCAGCGCTACTTGTATGTAGGGCCTACTATGCATCATGCTCCACTGCACTCCCACTCCGTATCCGCGTAGCCGCCAACCATGCCAACAGGGTGGTTGGTTTGGACTTACAATTTTTTCAGCAACTCCCATTCCTTTTGTGTTCCTTCGTTCTCAAATAATGGACCCCCACTCAGTATCCGCGTAGCTGGCATGGACTTGAATTGTTTCTTTTCCAGTGATTCCAACCTCATCGTAGCCAGAGATTTTAGGGGTGTATTTCCGAGTGGTGGGGTATTCTGCAATTACTCCGCGGATACTGAGTGGGAACTGAGTGAGAACGAAGCAACACAAAAGGAATGGGCGTTGCTGAAAATACTCGAAGTCCAAACCAACTATCTTGTTTCCCACTATGTAGCTATGGAGTGGGAGTCGCCTTGATAATGCTTGAGAACGAAGCAACACAAAAGGAATGGGAGTTGCTGACAAAATTCTAAGTCCAAACCAACTACATGTACCCTGTTGCCGTCTACGCAGATACAGAGTGGGAGTGTAGTGGAGCATGACGTGTGTAGGCTTACATGTAGTACGTCCAGGTAGTGCTGAGAAGGTTTGTTGAGGGCAATCAACTGTGACTCCGTAGCCGGCTACGACTAGTACGAGGTGCATAGATCGAGGGGCGGGGTATTCTGCAATTGTGCCCCAACATGTCCAACTCCAAGTCTGAAGCATTCATGATTTTGACTTTTTGTCATATGTTCATCATGTTCATGGAACTCCAAACACCGCCAACCAAACCCATCAGATTTTACCCCAAAAACAAACCACAAAGTGATATGCCACCTCATGTGTCCGGATCCACTAGAGATCGAGAATCAATCTGTAAGGTTAACCCAGAACTCAGCCGTTCGGAAAAGAAAAGAAAGTTCCCATTCAATTTCCGAGACTGCTGTTCAAGGCTTAACACCAACCTTAACACCAACAGTAAGGCCTTAGTTCTGATTGATTTGAATGGCGCCAAAGCATTTGCTTGTACCACCCTCCCGTCCTGCAAACAGGACGCTGGAATGGGCTGATGAATGCACTCTCAGATTGGATAGGATGTAGGATATCTAGTAAGCTGGAATTCCGACAGGTTACCTTTAAGAATGGCTTTTTAATTTTTTAATTTTTTTTTGATCACACAGGATGTTGATGCCCAAGAGAAACCGTGTGGCCATCTACGAGAACCTCTTCAAGGAAGGGGTGCTGGTGGCCAAGAAAGACTGGTACGCGCCCAAGCACGGAGAACTGGAAGTGCCCAACCTCCAGGTCATCATGGCCATGAAGGTCAGTAGGATTCGGTACCGATTCCCGATTTCGCCTGGCTACGGAATAATGCTGTGCAAACCCGACCCGAAACTGACCTAAATCCGACTTCGGGTCGGGTCGGGTCGGGTCGGTTTTTCCATCATTTCAGTCGGGTTGGGTCGGTTTCGGTTTTGTGTTTGCGATTTTGTGGTCGGGTCGGTTCGGGAAAGCCATCTTATGGAAAAGCCGAAATTAACCCAAAAAACCCTGAAACATTTCTGAAATTCACGCGATGCAATATTATTAAAGAGTTACTGTGCCTGTTATGACCAATGGCAACTCATCGCGTGATTGTGCATGTGTTGTGGTCTATTACGCACAGTCTAAAACGCGTAGAACCACCAATAGATAACGTTAGTCTTCACCGTACGCATACGGTATGATTCTTTAACCCTAACCGAACTCAACCCATCAAAGTTCAACCCCAGGTTTTGTTTATATCTGTTGGGATAGGTACAGTACCCCTAAACTGATGGTCTTTTACACTGGGTTTGGCATACCTCCAGAAACTGAGTCCAACAGTATGTGTGTACTGTTGTGGGTGTTGGAATTTGCCAGAATGGGTATAGTTCCTAGTAAATTAGGCTGGGGAGTTGGGGTTAATGAGAGACAACGATTTTAACGTGTTGCAGGCAAAGCCCAAGTCACACATTCAAGGTTTGGAGCTACGGATCTCCACGGTTTGAAATTCCTGATAAACCGTGGGAATACTGTATTCATCCTTAGTACATCCGTGGTTATCCGTCATCTTCCTTGGGCATTCGTGGAGGGGCTATGGAAGTTTTAAACTGTTCATAACTTCCGTGGTGAACCGTCATGAAAATTAATCCGTAGTGCAACCGTCATGAAAATTAATCCGTAGTGCAACCTTGGGACATCCGTAGGACAACCATATTTATTTGTAGTGTTATTCGTGCATATTCTTGGAGATTCGTAGCTCATTCGTGGTAGAAATCTCTACGAATTCGCTGCGAATGTCCTACGAATATGCCCGGATGTGCTAGGGTTCTGCTAAGGTTGTACTACGAATATGCATGCTTTAATCGTAGGAGAACCTTGGTCATCCGTGGCCCAATCGCAGAAAACCGTGGCGTCAACGTCATTATTCTTATCGTCGATATTCTTCAACAATCCGTCCATATTCTTGACAAACTGTGGTGTATTCATAGAGAAACCTTACGACAGTCGTAGCTATCCGTCCTGAAACCGCAATGCATTCTTAGAAAGTCAATTTCTCCACGAATCTAGACGGTTCATCGTGATCGATTGATTCTTGGTAAACCGTGGATATTCGTAGCTCCAACCTCGACTGTGTGACTTGGGCTTAAGTTCAGGCACCGATTAATACGAAACGCCTGTAACTCAAAAATGAGCACTGATAACTACAGTCTCATTTTCTTGAGTTGGGTAAAAAAAAGCCCGCACTTTTTTCTCATGCAGATTTTGTGTTCCCCCCTTTTTTTTTTCTGTCTAGTCCCTGAGGTCCCGCAACTATGTCAGGGAGCAGTTTTCCTGGCGGCACTACTACTGGTACCTGACTAATGAGGGGATCCAGTACTTGAGGGAGTACCTCCACCTGCCACCTGAGATTGTCCCGGCTACGCTGAAGAGACAGGCTAGAGCTGAGACGGCCAGGCCAAGACCCACAAAGGGTAAGGGGGGGAACCCTTGAGGCCTTATAGGAGTGTGCATTGAAACCGGGTTCCCAAGTACCTGACCGCTGATGCCAGGAACAGGTTCCAGATTATGGGATCGGGTACCCATATTGCCAGCTTTACAAATTACGTAGTAATTCTTCTTAGACAATGGAAAAGAAAGGTTTTTGAATGCCATTTGTGGGAATTTTCAAAATGAAAACCAAGCTACATTGAAAATCAAAACAGGTTTCATGTTTATGTGCATTTTGTTTGTGCAACAGATGACGCTCGCAAAAGTTGCAGTTTACAGGCATGCAACTTTTCCTCGGATCAGCTGATTTCCTCTTTTTTCATTTCCCATGTTGTGCCATTGAAAATAGAAAAACACTGTACAAAGTCTTGGAAAGATTAGAATTTCCTCTTTTTTTGTGATTTCCCAGTTGCATGCCTGAGTTTACACTCTAAAGGCTATAAAGCCCTTCGGACAACTTGCGATTTGATTTTGGGTTGGGTTTCTTTTACGGGTACCTGGGTACCCGTGTTTTACTTCACTAGGGTACCCCGTTCCTGAATTTCCACCTGAATGCACTCCACTAAGGCCTTTTCACGCAAGAAGTGGCAACCCCATTGAAATCTGTTTCAAGAGTCGTGCGTGGCGTAAATATTCACTGAAAACAAAGTTTGTTGTTTTCATTCAAACAATTTTGTTATTTATAAATAACCCAAACTGCCCAAAGCTGTACATAATGCAAACGTCTTCAAAACCTACTTTCGTCCCGTTTTATTAGTTGACTGTTCGTTCACTGTACACACAACTGCCGGATTGTTAAATGACATTTTCTTGAGAATCAGTTTTACAACTTCAAGTAAGTTGGTGGTCTGTATCTCTGTTACTAAACTCAGTACCCTAAAAGTTATATACCATTGGAAAGCTACAGTTCTGCAGAATCCAAGTAAATAAATATCTCAATTCTTAAAAAGTTCAACTTTAAGCTCATTTTGTGATGACAGGTCACATATCCCTAACCCCCATCGGGTATTCTTTAGGTACCATGCTAAATGCAACAAATCCAACTCAACTCAAATGAGAACCCTGCTAAATGCAACAAACTGCAACAGTGGATTCTGTTGCATTGTGCAGTGAACCCAGTGTACACCAGCCTTGGCACCAAGCAGTCACCCTGCTAAATGCAACAAACTGCAACAGTGGATACTCTTGTATCGCCTTGGCACTATGAGCAGTTACCCTGCTAAATGCAACAAGATGCAACAGTGGATTCTGTTGCATAGTGCACTGAACCCAGTACACACCAACCTTGGCACCAATTAGTTACCGTGCTAAATGCAACAAACCTGCAACAGTGGATACTCTTGTATCGCCTTGGCACTATGAGCAGTTACCCTGCTAAATGCAACCAAATGCAACAGTGGATTCTGTTGTATCGCCTTGGCACTAGGGGCAGTTACCCTGCTAAATGCAACCAAATGCAACAGTGGATTCTGTTGTATCGCCTTGGCACTAGGGGCAGTTACCCTGCTAAATGCAACCAAATGCAACAGTGGATTCTGTTGTATCGCCTTGGCACTATGAGCAGTTACCCTGCTAAATGCAACAAACTGCAACAGTGGATACTCTTGTATCGCCTTGGCACTATGAGCAGTTTACCCTGCTAAGTGCAACCAAATGCAACAGTGGATTCTGTTGTATCGCCTTGGCACTGTAAGCAGTTACCCTGCTAAATGCAACAAGATGCAACAGAGCACGGGGACTTGAGTTGCCTGCCAAATGCAACTGTATGCAACAACTTTTTTACCTTTGTTGCTTTCTGTTGCATTTGGCAGGGTTAGGGATATGGGTTTCCTAACTTCTGACTGATGCCCCTGGAATGAAGACATAGACAAACTGGGCTACAGAGCTCAGTTGGTAGAGCTCCAGTACCTTGCTTCTGAGGTGGCAGGTCCAAACCCTGCTCCAGTCAGTTCTCTGATCAGCTTTATGAACCCAGTCTGTGGTTCGTTCAACTAAAAGGTCCCTTTTCAAGAAAGGTTTGTTATTTTGTAAGATGATTTTATTCAACTCGTATTTTCTTGGTCGGTTTCAGATATGGCGCCTAGGGGCCCTGCTGCCGGCGACACCCAACGTGATGCCTACAGACGCGGACCTCGTAAGTAGAAATTATTTTTAAAATTTTACTTTGCCCTTCTAAACCTCCAAAGACATTTGAAGAAAATTCACGGAGATGTCTTTAGGGATGAGCTGCAGTGCAACTCAGAGAAATTCAAAGATAACTGAAGCACTCCTAAAACCCTAACCCTCCAGGATTTTTTGGCTAGAGACCCTGCCAAATGCAGCAGCATGCAACACTTGTCTAAAACAAGCCAGCCCAGTGCAGCAAGATCCAGCAGGTCAAAAGCTTCAAAGCCAAACTGCATCAGAGTCTGTGGTCACTGAATGCAGCAGGATATACTGTGGTGTTGTTCTCGTCGTTTCAGAACTGGCTGTTCATGTAGTGGTGTTGGTAGCTGAATTCATCAAAGTGCACCAGACTTTTCCACCTGATGCACTGTGCTGCGTCTGGCAGGGTTAGGGTTAAAAGAACTGCAGAGCTTTAAATTGCATTAGTTTTTATTGCAAACTGTGACATCAGAACAAATTTCAAACAGTCAGAGAGGGAGTACGCATCTTCACCTAACTTAGTGATTTAGTAGAATGTGGGTTTTTGCCAGAAAAAAAACATGTTGATCCAATTCTGGCACAGTTCATGGGGCTACTATGGACAAAAACGTTGCTTAAACCAAAAAAAAACCCAATTCTCAGCAAATACAGGTTACTAGCTGAAACGCCGTTATGTTGTACATTTCTTGTGCCTAGTCCTCACCTGATGTTTGCTTTACAAAGGCATTGGTCAGGTTACCAGAACGACGGAAACCAAGATGCCGGCTCTGACAATGACGGCCAACCACTGGCCACCAAGAGTGCCTGCGTGAGTGGTGCGAACAATCCATTGGTTGACAATGGAGGGCGCTACATTCAAAAGCAGTGTTTTACGCCTAGCAGCTTCTTCATATAGGGCTCTGGTCGTCAAATTGATTATGTTGGTATGCATGCAAATTTCCATTGCGTTCAATTCCCTACTTATTTCCCCCCCCCCAAACCTTGTAGCTGGAGCTGGAGGCCAAGACAAGAAGGGTGACGTGGGTGCTGGACCCTCTCCTCAATTTGAATTTGTAAGTGGAATCCTGTATTTAACGTTTTTTTTTTTTGCCCCTCAACTTAATGTTAAAGAGGTTGTGGATTGCTTGAAGACATTTCCGTCATTTTTCGGGTATATGTATCCTAAGGTGTGATGAAATAAAAACGACTATTGTTTCTGTCATGAAATGAGTACAAAGGGTACTTTTGAGAGCTATTTTTCAGGTCCTGTTTCGACCCGAACGTGCAATTTGTGTAAAAGTCGTCGTTGCGGGCAGCAAACAAAACACAGTAAATCGTGACGTAATAAACAGGACTCGTTTATGCTACTCTGCATCGGGAGTCCTGTTTATTACGTCACGATTTACTGTGTTTTGTTTGCTGCCCGCAACGACGACTTTTACACAAATTGCACGTTCGGGTCGAAACAGGCATGACAGGACTTGAAAAACAGCTCTCAAAAGTACCTTTTGTACTCATTTTATGACAGAAACAATAGTCGTTTTTATTTCATCACACCTTAGGCTACATATACCTGAAAAATGACGGAAATGTCTTCGAGCATTCCACAACCTCTTTAACCAGTTCGCGTTGGACGACGTGTTAACACGATCTGGCTGTTTCTATACACAGGCACAGCTGACGGGTTAATACGTCAAGCGAGCCTCGACTTGCCTCCGGATGACGTCTAAACGTGCTTATCCCCCATTTGTTTTGTACACACACACAAAGTCCAAGAACTCTGTGGAGGCGGACCGCGTGTTGTACTTGAACTTGGCCGCTGTGCACGGCCTGTTGTGGTACAATTTATGCTCCGTGGGCACATCCCGGAGTGTTGAAAAATATGAGGTTGTGTTGAGAATTATCATACAAATACTGTTGAAACGACTCTTGTGAATCAGTATTTGTGGCGTTTGGCTGTATATCAGAAGTTGGCTGCTATATTTTGCCTTTTTTGAAAATCCAAATTTATGGCTAAAATAACCCTGGCACAAATGTTAACGGAACTTATCGAGACCAGGCTTGTCCAAATTGAGCTGGACACCAGAAGTTCTGAGTTAAGGATAATATTTATACTTGGCTTTCCTCGAGTTTGTGAGAAAAAAGGCTTCACAAACTTGCTCAGGTAGGACTCGAACCCACAACACATCTGTGTACTAGTGCAGATGTCTTGCCATTCGACCCCCAAGCTTGCTGGCTTTCAATCGGTCACTTTCAGTCAGTACTCACAAGCATTTTTTTAGCCCCTAACCCTTAAAACGGTCTATTATGATCTAGACCTCCCAAAGATTTCTAAATGTTACCAGGAGAATGCTTACAGGGCCCATGCAATTTTTGTTTTGAATGCAATCCTTGAAAATGCAGCTTTGTCTCCAATTTAGCCTTATTTGCAATTTTTGTGTTGCCATTTTTAAGAGTATTTTGGTGCCTTTTTGTCTTTATGCTAATACAAATGTCCATATTCATGAGCCAAACTGTGATATCATTCCGGTTAGAAACCTCATGGTACAGCTGGTTCAGCACATAAAGTTGCTAGAATTTTTGATATTTTGCTGTCTTAAATTTTTCTTTTGTTTGGTGATTGGTTGTTGTGTCAGTACATGGCATTAAACCAATGAGCAAACCTTCCTCACAAATTTGTTCAATGAGCAACTTTGGGGCTCACAATTTGATCAGAAATCCCTAAACTGAACAGTCTCTGCCTGAAATGACATCACAGCAACAGTGCCCTCAGCTGTTCGGAAAAGCATGGAATATTTAAATATATAAAAGAGGTTCATTTTCAATAAAATTAACCAAAAAAGGGTTGTCAAATAGTTTTCATACATTTAAGAGGAGTAGAAAGTTGTACAAAATGTGTTCCTCGGAACAATTCATTGCATGTACCCTTTAAATGTCTCATGAAGTGCTCAGTGTTGAGTGCATATGTTGGACACTTGAATTTTCTTTTCTAATGGCTCCATGCATTACCTAAAGAGGGCGCTGTTTACCCATACTTTGAAAAGTAAGTGGGCACTTAAAATAAGGGACAAGACACTTAAACTGACATTGACTTGTTTTATAATCTCGCATGGCATTACTAATCTATATTTGTTTGGTCTTTTTATCCACCCCCCTCTTTTTCTCAATTCCTGTCTTTTCCTGTCTTATTCTATTTCTTCTTACTTTGTTTCCTCCTCCCTCCTCTGCTTATGCCCCACCCACAGAGAGGCGGATTCGGCCGTGGAAATCCACCACCACAGTAGTGTACTATCGGAGCATCATTCATCCACAGTGGGGGGCAATCGTATTGTTACACCAGGCTGTGGCCATTTTTGGCTTCATGCACGAAGCCGTCATGTTTGTGGCTGCGGCTTTTGATATTCTTCCATTATATGCTTCACCAATCCATAGCCTTCATGACAATGTGGGCAAGGCCTGTGGCTAACATCTCAAATCAAAACAGACGGGTGCCTTGATGTTGATGGCTTAACAAACCATGGTGGTGACTCAGACAACTAGACAAAGATGGCTGCCGCCCAGTTATTATCATTTCCTTGTGCATAATATTCAAATAAAAGTGGGTCGTTAACTAGGCCCAGATCACGGATCAGAAATAATGTGTGGTGTGTTCCTTTTGTTTTGTAGTTTGTGGGTAACAGACTAGTATTAGTTATAAAAGGAGTTGTTCTTCCAAAGGAAGCTTTTTACTTAATAATGCATACTTCATGCTTTTCCTCAACTTTGGTTTTGAGAACCATAGTTAACAAAAAATGCACCAATTTGGGGAACCTTGCTCAACATTATATATGTACTTGAGGGAAGGGGGGTGGGGCTAAGATTTGTTGGCCAATTAGATTCATGGTACCTTAAAATCTGTTCATGTGAATGTGATACCTGTTATTTTATACTGGTAATTGGTACACGAGACATTTCAAATTGAAATACAGTCGATTCTCGTCAGTACAAACTCTGTTGATACAAAATTCTGGTTATAACAAACGTAAAGCCTTGGACCCGACTGCATTTATGTGCACAATGAATGGGACTGATGTTTCTCTTAATACAAAATTCTGATATAACAAACAATTTGGCTAGGTCTGAACGAGTTTGTGTTAACGAGACTCGACTGTACAAAATTTTAACATGTCCACTTCAGATAAGGGCGAGTGCACAATAAGCTCTGGCCGTGTTGCAAGGAGTCTTGCATGAAAATGCTCAAAATGATCCCTGCCAGAGGTTAAAAATGCGACTCCGATGCCACATATGGAACACCATAATTTGGTCAATATTCGGGGACCGACAGCAAGACAGTCGGATGGACCGACCAACCACCAAGTGACATATAAAAGCTCTTCAGTGCTTAAAAAATGCAGACGGCTTCGAATGTTGCATGCCATTTCAAAGAATATTTTAAGCCAAAGCTGATGGTACATAGTCTATGTAATAGACCCATGGCATTTGCCATGGGTCTATGATATGTGAGCAGATTTGCTGATTAATTAGGCAAGACCCGCCTCTTGACCTCCTAGATTTTGACCAATCAGCGGGCGCTTTCTATATCGGGTCTTCGGTCATTCACCTGTTGCGCGTCATAGACAATGGATTAAAAAGCCCTGCCATATGCGCTCTGTATATCATGTTCATAGGATCATTTTACACGATAACGTGCCCGGCTGTTGTTGCATTACAAAACACTGCATTCGAATTGACCAATCAAACATTTAGTCCTGATTTGGGAATGAAATGACGTCACGATTTTAGTAAAGTCGACTCCGATTGGCTGAGGCATGAGATGGCATAAATCTGCATGCGTTGATATATCAGACGTTAGGAGTCTGGGCTCCGTGGATAATGGGTGATATACTCAGACTAATGGTACACTCCTGTTTGAAAAGAAGTTTTGAGACGCCGCCCCTTTAATCCCCTAGGAAAAAGGATTGGATACCCACCACATTAAAAACATCTAGACCCCTCCGCTCCCCAATTACATGTATTGTCCATTAACCCCTCCCTTCGGAAACCACACCCCCAAAAAGTCCCCGTGGAAAACAAATTCACCCTGAAGGACCGTAGAAAAACAAATAATGTGGTCACTGGTATCCCGTACGCGGGAAGTGATTTATGAACGTAGTAAATGAACACCAGATGAGGGAAATTAGACTGGCTCCAGTAATTACGCGACAACATGCCATTTAAGGACAGGGTACGTGACTTGGAGCCGTGCACTTATTTTCATGCGCTACTTCCGTATTTTCCAATGCGCAATTGAGAGGAGAAATTCGACACGCAAGAGCGAGTTCTTCATTCGAAAACTTCATGATTGAAGACCTGAATTGCAATTTTTGAGAAGTTTCTTCCGTGACAGACACGCACAGTCAAACATGAGTAGGTTACAGTGGGCCTGTCAGAATGGCGACATGGAACAACTGACGAAATTAATCGAAGAAGATGTGAGTGTTTTGAATTGGAAAGAAATTACAGACAGTCATTTTTGGTCATTGCATTTACATGTAGGCCCTAGGCCCTAATAAATGTTGGTGTTGTGCCCATTCTTGAAAATCACGCATTCTCGAGAATGGGCATGCACATTCTCGAGAATGGGCATGCACATTCTCGAGAATGGGCGCACATTCTTAAGAATGAGCGCCCATTCTTAAGAACGAGCACGCGTTCTTAAGAATGAGCGCTCATTCTTAAGATTGGGTGGGAATATCACGTGCACAATTTATGAATTTTGCCCAATCTTAACAAACATTGCACGACATAATTATGTTAAATGAATTGTATAGCGGTTAAAAGGGAAACAATTCATATAAAGAGGAAAGAAAATGTGCTATGCTTCTGTACTCGTATAACTACGATAATTTGAATCAAATTAAACCTGTTATTATTGCTTTTTTCTGCCCACTATGGGAAGTTTTGTAATAACGGAGGACTGGGAACTAGTCTGGGAAGTGCTTTGTTTAGGCTAGACAAGTTACAAGTCCCTGCATGTATCATATGCGTGCCACGAAAAAAAAACGATGTCCAGAAGCTGCCAAAATTGCTCTTTTGACTAGATAGAATCCAGCTCTGCGACGTTATGGTGGGATGTGAACAATAAATTGGTGGCAATTTAAATGGGAAATAGCATTAGCACTATGGGATGTCGCAGTATTCATTCTCATTCTTCACATTCTTCATTCTTACGTTAAAGTGTTCTGCCTCAGGGATTGAGTTGTGAACATGTGTTCAAAAAATAGTGTAAAAATACAACGGAAAGAATGTAGGCGATCGTGAAGTGTAGGGCCCCTGTTTTGTTTTGATCAAATAAGAGTCAAAAATGTTTTTTTTTGGGCTCAAAAATCTTCTTTACAATCAAAAGCAGATTTTATCAATTCTATTGACACCTGTTTTGCAATTTTGAACAGATTCTTGGGGTAGAAATCATGATTTTCCTGCGCGGTTTGTGCCTTGCCCGTGTGATTCAGCGCGCTGTGCGTGCTCACAGTACATCGCGCGGTGATCACCATCTTTATTTTCGGGTTGCGTGTTGTCTCCGCACTGTCATTGTCATTTTACCCCCAAATTTCCCTAAAAAATCAAAACCCTACCCTCTAATCTATGACATACCTGTTCATTGAGAATGTCGCCAACTAGTTTGGTAGGTCCAATAATTTGAAAGTGGATTTTGTTCCCTATAGGAACCGGGCCCTACACTACACGATCACCAGAATGTAGGCCTACAGATGTAGTCAAGAAGTACACCTGTAAACGTGGCGTCAATTACAACGCCACGGTTCAACCTAAAAGCACTCGAAATAGTCACGCGGCACATCATTTTGCCAGTATTATAACATAAGTACTTGCATACAAAGCTTTCTGTAATTTACGGGAGCATACTGCATAGGATCTTGCATTGCCAAGAAATTTGAGGGGAAAAAAACGACCTCGACACAAACGTACGAGCAAAACTTTGGATTTTCTGAGGTCACGCACGGTACGCTGGTACTCCGAGTCATGCACGTGTGAAATGGTAGGAGCCATCCAGGTACATGTACCAGTACAATCTTGTGCGTCGAGTGTTACTACGCAACCCTGGAGCGTGGTTATATATAGCCACATTCACGGGTCTAGTCAAGAAATGGTCCGAGTATGAGTAACTTGGACCCTACAAAACATTGACCAGAACTTTCCCAAGGCTAACCAACTACTGTCCGTCTTTGGTTCATGACAGGGCGAGGATGTGAATCAGGTTCTTTCACAAGGCAGGAGGCCGCTGCACATCGCGGCCGACTACGGACAGACGGAGGTCATCAGGAAATTAACCGAAAATGGTGCAGATGTCAATGTAAGTGACTTTGAAGTTCAGCTTCAATCAATCACCCAGAAGTGCATTTGTGCGATTGGTTGAACCTGTCAGAAATCTCTGCCTCCCTTTTCAGAACGGTTGTACAGAGCAATAAATTAGAAAGATACATGTAGGTGATCGATCGAATGCAGCATGATCGACCAATAGCATACATCTATTGATCATTTCCAAGCTATATATTTCTAACAATTTTTAATACTGCAATCCCCCCCCCCCCAACACTGAAAAAAAACCCAATGATTGGAAAAAGTCCGTTATTTTTTTTTAAAATGAACCCTTCCTTTCTTGTAAACAGATTGGCCACCATGGCAGTTGCCTAAGTTTCCACAAGCTTTTATTACCAATATTTGTTCCCTTTTTCCAACTTAAAGTGGCTTCCTGTGTTTCATACATTTCCCTCATTTTATGAACATGCAGTATTTTATTTAATCTCTTACACTGTGAAGAATACAGAGTTGGCCTATAATATTTATTAAATGCCTCTGAAAGAGAAGCAGGCTGGCATGCTTAACAAACAAATATGTTTGTTATTACTCAAGCTAAATAAATAATACTCCTACATTTATACAGTTGAACGTCGCTATACCGAACACCTCTTTACTGAACATTTGGCTATACCGAACATCGTCCTTGGTTCCTGATTTTTATGTACAAAATGTACCAAACATTGTCGTTGAAAAATGTCAACAGAGGAGCGACAAATGGCTATTATTTCCCCAAGGAATAGAAGGGGAAATCCACCCATTGCTGTAGGTAGTATGCTAAAAAACTGTGTAATTACATTATTCAATAGTTGGCACGTGATCAAAGTCATCTTTCCGTAACTAGAAATACCAGGGCGTGCAGGGTGAAGTTCTGAAGGGCACTATCTATTGCAAAGTGAATTCTGGAGCACCAGCAGCTTAAAATGGCTAAACCGAATGATCGCTATTAGGAGCAATTTCTGTGGATCCCGCGATGTTCGTTATAGCGGCGTTCCACTGTAATTGTAACTCTGAACATGCTGAGTGCTGGTACACCAACATGGTGTACTTTTCTTGCCAAATCTACAAATATTTTATGGGTACTTTTGAAATTAATTTGATTTGAAAATAAGGTAATTGTATGTTAGGCCAAAAAAAAAATAATATTCAGTCTCTGGTCAGACCAAAGTTCCGGAATTGACGCGGCCGCGCGGCTTTTTTGTTCTTTTTTTTTGCTTTTTTGTACAGGATTGTACAGACAAGGTGGGGTACTATTTTGCTTTTTTTGTGTCCTCATGTACATTGGTGTCCTCCATAATTTGCCTTGGTGCTTTCGATCATTTGCCTTGGTGCAATTTCCCATTTCTTGGTGCTCTTTGGTAAAAAAAAATTGAGGAGGTGCGGTAATAGAGGGCGCTGTTGGAGCTACCGCGGAACATTTTGGAAAAAAAGAAGAAAAAAAAAGATCGACGCTCATGATTAAAATCGACGCGCGCGCTGACCAGAGACCGACTTATTTTTTTTTGGGGCCTTAACTTCTGTTCTTATTTTTCCAAATTTTGTTCCCACAGGCAGTTGACAAAAACAATATAAGTGTCTTACTGGCTGCAATTTTCGAGGGGCATACGCAGTGTGTTGACTATCTACTTCAGAAGGTGCGTATTTCTCTTTCGATTTTCAGGTTCATTGTATCTGATATTTAGTAACAGTTGTGATAAATACTGATCCAACATGCCTTGCATGTTGTAGTGTTCTTTTGGCTTTTGCTGTGTACTGTGCACACAATTCATTTTTAGATGTGGGAGGAAAACAATTAAAGAACATTCTGAGGAAAACCCACGGAATCGGGCAGGGACTGAAAACCCAATCCACATATTGGCCCATCAGGCAGGAATCAAACCCGGGTCACAGCGGTGGAAGGCAAGGGAAGTACCGCTACGCCAACCTGACTCCCCTATAGACAAATCCGGCAGCAGCCAATTTCTGCAGTGGCAGCTGGCTCGCACGAGTCGCACTCAACGCGCTCCTCCAACCAATAGGCATACCAAAATGCGCACGCGCCTCTTCTTTGAGAACACAAACAGCATGCGCGTGGGCGTGACACCACCACAGTAATGGCTTCAAATTCTGGTCGCCGGATTCCACTGTTGTCCAGTTGTGTCCATCTGCTTTGGACACTGCTCCAATAATCAGATGGCGACCAGCCCCTCCCCCAACTGTCTGTCCCCCTGGCTTTAAAGCCAAGAAAGTGGCTTTAAAACCAATAAAAGTGGCTTTTAAGCCAAAGGGCTCCGTGCGCCAACGAAAGAGGGCGCCCTTTTACCTAGCAACGACATCCCATGGGCGGGACATTTAGCTGGTTGACGCGCACCGTTCCTTGTGTGTGACGCACGTACACCAGGGGATTTGTGCTACGTCAAAGGTCATCTAGGCTTCGCGGCAAAATTGCAGTCAGGCAAGATGGTGTCGGTTGGTCACCCCCAACTGTACTTTCTTTGCCGGTGAGGGGGTGCTTGTGAATGGAGCGGATAGGGATATTGCGATAGTGTATTCCTTCTGTGTGTCCGTGTGTTGCATTTTGGTTAGGGTGAACTGTTTAGTGATGTCGTATGAAAAATCAGACTTCAATCTCAACCAAACTTGGTGACAATAATCTTTGGGTTGGGGGACTTAAGATGACTTGAGACATTTGAGGTCAAAGGTCATCTAGGGGTCAAATGAGGTCATTGTTGATGTGGTTAGGTCAACTGAAAAGTGCCGTCATATGAAAAGTCAGACTTCACTCTCAACCATAGTTGGTGACAATAATCTTTGGGCTGGGGACTTAAGATTACTTGAGACATTTGAGGTCAAAGGTCATCTAGGGGTCAAATGAGGTCATTGTTGATGTGGTTAGGTCAACTGAAAAGTGCCGTCATATGAAAAGTCAGACTTCACTCTCAACCAAACTTGGCGACAATAATCTTTGGGCTGGGGGACTTAAGATGACTTGAGACGCCTGATGTCAAAGGTCAAATGAGGTCATTGTTTTTTTGGTTAGGTCAACTCAAAAGTGCTGTCATATAAGAGGGCACTATTTACAGTGGATAAACTATTTTGTAAGCTGTAACGATGACAGCATTTTCTTCTTCACATTGTGTCTTTCCCAGGGTGCTAAGAAAGACGGAAAGTTTAACGGCGAGAGCTACATCGAGTTGGCAGAGAAGAACGAAATCAAAGAACTTCTGAAGTAACACTCTTTTGTTTTTTGTACTGGTAATTTTTTTTTCTGAGTTTATATTATGCACTTGTACAAAATGAGGCGAAAAGTGGCAGTCTATGCATTCTGGAGACTATATCATTGTAGGGCCCAAAGCCTTAAAGCTAGAGTACATGTAGATCTTCTTTTTTTTTGAAGCAACAAAAGGGCTCAAAATCTAAAGAAGGGTGCTTATTACAACTGATCTGATGAAGTTTTAGCTCAGTGAATGCTGTATATTCCAAGAAAACAATATTATAGGATCCCGATTTCAATTCAAAAGTTGCCGAGTCACATTTTGAATTGCGCCCGAAATCAGCATCCGGAACACGATCTCATTCAGCTAATTTCAGCTATAAGCTGTCACGCACTGAACCGACAAATAATAGCAACTGCGCGCTGTGTGTCGTGACAACGCTTGCGCACACCCGTTCACAGATTCACCAAATTACAAATCAACTATTAACTGAGATTTCCAAATACTTGGAAATTTGGAAATTGCCTTCTTTTATTGTTTTCTTCAAAATAACAGCATGCCAGAAGGAATAATTTCACAGGGAGTTTAGCACCATTTACTATCTTGGAACCAAGTAAGCCTTTAAACAATAATTAGGTCAGTTGCTTTTTGGATAGCTGCAAATGGAATACTCTACCTTTAAAGTACATACATTTTTTTGTATTTGTGCAATTTTAGGTCAACTCTAAAAATGTGTAATTTCCTTGGGTTTGTCATTTTCTTTGCATTTTTTTTCTAAAAAAAAAGGAACAGAAGTGGTGAATTTAGAGATTTAAAAGTGTTTTGGACTAAAATCGGCAACAGTTTGAGTTATCAATCTACGTACGTATGTTTAGTTTTAAAAAAACCTGTTAAAGCCAGATTTTGTACCAAAAAGTTCTGTGCGTGTTAATCGAATTATGTCTCAAAGTGCTGTTGCGAGAATTTTGCTATCATAGTTTTAGTAAATCTGTGCAAAATTTCACATTTGCCTGCTCAAGTATGAGTCTTATCATGTAACTATGAAATACTCATATTTTTATGACATTTTTCTGATTCTAGAACAGAATTACACAAGAGCTTAGATCCTTCTAAAAAGAACAGGCAGATTTAATCAAATTAATCTGGAGATAAAAACAAGATGTTTACTTTTTTCAACTGAGCAAACAGCTTCTTTTTTTTTTAACTAAAAGTTACCTCGAGTAAGCTTCTACCTTTCTGCTTTGACAGCAATTTTGTATCACAACTCAGTGTTGGGATTGCCCCCTCTTTCTCTGGTAAGTGACTGGTATTGATTATTAACCCTAACTCCCTGGGCATTTTTGCTAGGATGCAACCTCAATCCTGCAAAATCCTCCAACTACCTCCATGTAAAAATTGCATACAGCCTCAATCCTCCGTTATTTCTTGAATGTGGTCCTTGGGGGGGGGGGGGGGGGGGGGGTTGACCACTGCCTCAATCCTGCAAAATCCTCCAGCAATCACTGTCAATATGTTGAGGCAGAGCCAGTGACATCCTGGAGCAGTGCGGAGGATTTCAAGTGTAGTCTAGGCCTAAATTTATGCACGGATGAGCATAAACAACACAAGGTCTTGCCCAAGACCTTGACACAGTGCATCCTCCTAAATCAGCCACACTTTTTTGCCATGTAGCCTCAATCCTGCAAAATCCTCGATTTCGCAAAGAGAAGCTGGGAAAATTAGGGTTAAGAATTCACTTGTTAATTTGATATAGCTTTGACTGGAGGTGATTGTTAAGCCAGCTGTACGTACCAGTTACCTCTTTTTATATTACTAGTCGGTATACAGCTCCATGACAAGGGAAGTGGAAGAATTTTTTGACTGTGAAGGATCAAACAATAGAAGGGTTACTAGTTAGTACTTGACATTTTAACTTCGACTCTGACAAGAAAACGAAAAAAGTAAATTTCATTGTAAATAAGATCTGCCGTACGTGATTGCATTAGTGTTACACATGTAGGCCTATACTTGATTCTTTCTGGGAGCTTATTAGAGCAAAATTGAATTTTTGTCACCCGTTTTAAATATTGTCAAAATCTGAAAAGTATTCATAAAAAAAAATCATCCCCAAAAAGAAATTCCTTTCGAAATTTTCAATATTTAACTTGGCAGAATTGTTCAGATTCGTACATAAATAGGACGCACTGTATATGATGGCTTTTGGGTAATGAAATGTGAAGTACTCTCCTTAACCAGTTTGCGCCGGGATTATTTTGACAAGAATGGAACTAGGCACGGGATTACTTTTCACTCGACCTCATGTCAGTCGGGTTGAACTGAAGCCGTCACCCTCGGGCAGCACACTCATATTTCCAGCCTCGCTTGCTGCGAGCGGGTCACTGACAGATATTTCCAGCCTCGCTCCCTGCAAGTTTAATTGTCATCCGTTCCGAATACCGCAAAACGTTTGCGTGTATACACAGCTTCTGGCACGAACTGGTTTAAGAAGTATGATCCTAACTCGTGCAAAAGTTGCGATTCTTTTCTTCTAACACTTTGTATATATATTCACGCATCCAATATTTCTCCCACTGACCAAAAACAATTAAATGTATTGTCGTATAATAGTATTTGTGCTAGGATCATATGTTCTCTGTCCATATTTGCAGTAAAATTTTGCAGAAAAAAATTTAAAATTTATAGTAATATAAAGGGAATTAGGTTAAGTATGTGACTTGTAAGATCACACAGGCCGGTGATTTTGAGCCAAAAAGTTCTTTTTTTACCCCCGGGTGACTGATCATGTGGTTTGATATCCTTGTGTATTTTTTTTTTTTAAAAGACATATATAGAGCTATAATTTGCATATTGATTTAACCATGAATGCTGATTGGCTATATTTATCCTATGGTGGACGTCAATAAAGATATTGTAATCTTCAAATGGGAACTGAAAAAATGATCGGTGATTGATGTGTTTTTTTAATCGTTAACCCAACAGCTCTAGTCTGAGGACAACCTGTTTTCCAATGGAGCCTCTCCTTAACCAATGTCTGATAAAATGTGAGCAATGCAACTTTTATGCGACCTCGCGCACCAGCCAATAGAAATTGTGATGTTATTTCGATCAGAAACATGGACCAAACTGTTGATTGGTCAATTTGGCCACCATGTTTTTTTTGTACTGCATGTAAAACGGGTTGCTAATAGAAGGCGCCCACTGATCGGTCAGAATCGCGAGGTCATGACGCAGTCTTGTTTTGCATAATTATCGCCGAATCTGCTCGCATGCCATAGACCCTTGCTGTTCAAGGGGATATTCCATAGACTAGTCTAATGGCTAATATTTGACAGATTTTAAACAGAAAATTTATATTCCCCCTGGAAGCTTTCAAATGAAGCGTGCAAAGTGTCTTTCGACAAAAGTGTGGAACTTGACCAAAAAAACAAAACGAACCACTCAACTTTATACGAGTAAAATAACATTGTAGATTATTTTTAAACGTCTCCTCAATACGGCTCACATTTTCTGAACATCTGAATTGAAAAAAATACTATTTTGATATTTGGTGATCAATTATTTGAGTGTTCGGCATTCCCATTCATAAATACCTTTCGGTAAACAAGTGAAAACAAGTCCAAACTTCACAAATTTTGCTTCAGGTTTTGTAAAAACACCCCTCTGGCCATATCTATGGTATGTGCCTGACGCGCAGTGCAAAAAACCTTCTTTTATGGAAATTGGCGGAACAGTGTTGTAGGCTCTCGACCAATAGGAATGTGTAAACTGTCTCAGGTATATATGAATGTTTTAACCTTTTTTAGTGGGAGATATATGCTCCATATAAAGCATTGAGGCTTGTCTGGTTTGTGTTTTGTACAAGTATTTGCCATTGGGTTACAACACAGTAAAGGAAATACAGCCAGCAGCCAAATACGTTCACAGCGTTTCACAGCTTTTATTACAGATGCTATTGAAATAACTGACAAAAAGTAATGTCAACAATAAGGCCCCCCAAAAAAGAAGTCTCCGGTTTCTGGTATGGACCTTGCTCCAAAAGTGGTGCGGCGACGCGTTTTTTTATTAAAACTTTTTTTGGGTCAAATGTCGGCTGATGACTGCAAATGGTGCCCGACTAAATTTAGTGCAAAATGTATGGGAGCCCAGAGAGGCCACATAAAGCTTATACTCGATTGTAACCCCATCTAAAAACACGTTAAAATTATGCAGCAGCAGGATTCCAAGTCAAACCAGTGAGTTTGGCGATTTTGAGACCTCATCTTACATTGAAATTTTTTTAAAAAATTTTGCCGATGCGCAGGGCTACGGCGACGCGCGCGCAGACCAGAAACCGGAACTTTTTTTTTTTTGGCCTAAGCTTCACACTTGCCATTTGTGTCTCACGATTACTACAAGTCAGTAATAACAAACAAAATGTGGACTAACTAAATTGAGTAAATTGGGGCAGTATTTAAAAAAAAGAGGTTTTTTCCCCCAATAACAGTCGACTAACCACTGTTGGAAATTAATAAAAAAATTCACTTTTCTTAAAGTGACACCACACCAGGTGCCATGATTTCACAGGATGCTTGAGACTATTATTCACTTACAGTCAGTAAACATTATCATAATAAGTTGGTAGTTGTGCTTTTTGATGTTTGCAAATGTTGTATATTGACTCAATGCACTGTCTTTGAAACATGCTTTGCCAGGTACAGCACGCATGCAGATGTTGCAAAAATGGCAAAACAAACGTACATGTTTTTCTTTCTTGCCACAATGACCTCGAGTTGATAATGCTCAATGCATCGTTGACATTATCTAAAGATAAAAGCGTTTCAAAAGAAAGTACGAAACTGAAACTTCTGAGCAAGACTGTTTATGGAATGGTGGTGCATAAGTTTCTGGTAAACAAATCATGACGCTTGTTATTGTTGGCAGGCCTGAAGCATGTAGCCCATGCCTAGCAAGCAGGAGGTTTTGGGTTCAAGTACTAAGACAATACCCAAGCACTTATCATAATAATTGAAAGACAGAAGTTCACAAATTCAGTTAATAATAATAATAATAACTGCATTTATATAGCGCTTTTTGCCAGAGGAGAATGCTGGGGAGAGAATGCAACCAAAGACAGGTAAATGAAGTATATGAACATATGAGACCCATTATGTAGTACCTTTTTGCTAGGTGCTGCGGCGCATAATTGCTGCCACTGCCAGAAACACCGGGGCAAACCCCTCCTCTTAGCGACAAGTGTTACTGGGTTCTTTAACGTGCATTACACAACACACGGGACCTACGGCTTTACGTCCCATCCTAAGGACGAAGCAATAATGGTAAAGTGCCTTGCTCAAGAGCACAAGCACCATGTTCCCACGGTCAGGATTTGAACCCATGCACCACGGCACACGAGTCGAACACCGTAACCATTGGACCACAGCGCCCCAGTTATGATACAATGAGGATTTTTTTTTGAGAAAATATTCCTTGAACACCACGCAGTGCAAAACTGACCTTTTTTCCCCCAAATATTTGACAACACATTCCTCTTCAAATTATAAAGAAAAAACAAAACTTACAAGATCAAAACTGGGTTCAAACATGTTTTGTTTTTGCTTGAAAACCTGTCTTAGTTTATAATGAAATCCACTGCCTCACAGACGTAAACTGTACTAAATGTATTACATTAATACGCAGTATACCATTCACCAATCATAATCAAATTGAAAACCACTCAATATTGGTGTTATGTTCATGTTTAAACTAGAAGTACAATTAGACACATGTCGGATGGCTTCAGAAGAAAGATCCCATAAAAGCTATGCTGACGTCGTCGCCGTAAGAGAAAGCGTTCATCTGCCAGTATCGTGGAGCATAGAACACTGGGGAAACAAAAAGCAAACAAATCAAAACAAATACAACACAAGAAGAAAGTTGTTTTTGTATATCTAGAAGCACAGGGGATATGTTCCTCTCTTGGGGCGTGTAGATGTTTTGTTTAAATACAAGAGTTGGAGTTGTTTTTGAAACCCGGGCCTCGACTCCAGCTTCGGATTCACCTCTGGCTTCAGAGTCATTCAAAGCGAACCAAATACTCTAATTTTTTTTTTAAAGGATTTTATGTTCCTAACGCAGAACATGCAATTACACTGAGCCAAAGGCTGTTCAATGAGGCACCTTTAATTGCCTGAAGTCAAAGCTGAAGACAACACCAAGTTTTCGTAAAAGCCTTTACGGAGTCAGCTGGTGTAGCATGAAGTACTGCATGGGTATGAGTCCCACAAGATCAAACTTTGGAAATGTTTCTCCCAACCTCGTTCCCCGTGGGTACGATCTTGCTGCGCCATGTTGTTTCCCATCATGCCTTGCGCGATCTCAACCCCTGGAATTGTGTAATTTAAATGTGTCAAAATATGGCACATTATAATTAGGCTGCAGGTTATCCATTTTACGTGCCGACGCCATCTTAAAATGTTAAAAGTTGTGATTTTGAAGAATCAATCCCTTCAAACATAACGTTTGGACGTTGCGTTATTTAGCAAAGATTTGTATCAAATGTACGCACCCCTTTCGTCCCTGTACAACCGAAGATACAGGTTTTTTAAGCGAAAAACGAGGCTGCCATAATCCATATCGTACAGGCATCGCGACTTTTGAATAACAATTTTTTTCGTACGTGACGTTTACGTGCAAAGCACGCGAGCGCATTATGGGCGCGCCCGGCGTGCAATCTTCGAAATGCGTGCGCAGTACGCTGTGAATAGCCAATCAGTATCATTTACGTCATCATCACGGCCAGGGGTTAGTGTAAGGAACGTGCACGCGCCCATGGAGCCGAGGCTGTGTTTCTCCATCAAAAGCTAAAACGCAGTACTGTATACAAGTATACATGTATAGATGAATCTAAGCACGTGATGACAAGGCCCCCTTCAATGGAGAAACCATTGTGCATGTTACTGTACAAAGCAACTGCCCCATGATGGATAATCTGAACAATAGCTAGCACAATGCTTTCGCCATTGAAGGGGGCCTTCATGATAGAATTCCTAGTGTGCTCTGTATGGTCTATACAGTGAAGGCGAATCCAAGTATTAAAACTGACTCGTTCAAAATTGACAAACAATTTATATAACAACTTGTAGTTTAATACTCCAGACTGTTCAACTTACACACGTCGGACTGTTCAAGGACTATGCGGAGTTCAGTGCAGTTCTCCTTACAGGCTGATATAGGATCCAAGGTTACCTCCTGCGACCCATAGGCCTGGGTTATCCAGGCGTTAGGTTGCTCAGGCCAAGGCTGTAAGAGACAAGGATGTAACATAAATTGTAAGTCCTTTTGTTCTGTATGTAGTTATGTGGTATAGTTTTCAGTCTGTGAGTATGACAGTTGTTTACAGGGTGAGTAAAAAAAAAACGAAACCCAAATGTCGGGACCATTGTTTTAGTGAAGTTCTGCATGTAGCACTTTCAAAATCTAGGATATGAAAGCCCAATTCATCAGCTTTCTTTTAGTACAAGAATCATTCAAATCACTCATGTACTTTTCAAGTTACGGTGTTTTAAACACAACCACCGTTTTAAAGTTCTGTTCACGGATCGCAAAAAAGGTGTGGACAGTGCGCTCTTTCAGCAAAACGAAACAATTCACATACATTCCTGTGTGATTTGTTTTCGTTTTGCTGAAAGTACACTGAACTTTTTGCGATCCGTGGACAGAACCTTAAAACGGCGGTTGTGTTTAAAACTCTGTAACTTGAAAAGTACATGAGTGTTTCGAATGATTCTTGTATTAAAAGATTATAAAAATTGGGCTTTCATATCCTAGATTTTGAAAGTGCTACATGCAGAACTTCACTAAAACAATGGTCCCTACATTTGGGTTTCGTTTTTTTTTTAAACACCCTGTACAATTTAATGGAGCCAGTTTCGGGTGACTGAGGAAAATTAGTCGACTTGTAGTTGATTTGTGACGTAACTTACGCCAGCACACCGATAGCAACGCATGAACGCCTCTAGTCAAACGATGGTCAAAAGTCCTGGCTCCCCGTTGTGCTTCATGATGCACGCAGATATTGGTTACCAGTGATGCAACCGTGCCCCATGCTCTGGTACTCTCTGATCGTAAGTCACAAACCCTAACCACAAGGCCACACTCCCCCCAACTAATACCGGTACCCATTTATACTCCTGGGTGGAGAGAGGCAAGTTGGAGTGAAGTGGCTTGCCCAAAGACATAATAAATGACTAGCAGCTGGATTTGAACCCCTGACCATCTGATCGTGAGTCACGAACCCTAACCACTAGGCCACACTCCCCCCAACTAATACTGGTACCCACTTATACTCCTGGATGGAGAGAGGCAAGTTGGGGTGAAGTGGCTTACCCAAGGACACAATAAATGACCAGCAGCTGGATTTGAACCCCTGACCCTCTGATCATGAGTCACAGACCCTAACCACAAGGCCACACTCCCCCCAACTATTACCGGTACCCATTTACTCCTTGGTGGAGAGAGGCAAGTTGGGGTGAAGTGGCTTGCCCAAGGACGCAATAAATGCCCAGCAGCTGGATTTGAACCCCTGACCATCTGATCGTGAGTCACGAACCCTAACCACTAGGCCACACTCCCCCCAACTAATACTGGTACCCATTTATACTCCTGGGTGGAGAGAAGCAAGTTGGGGTGAAGTTGCTTGCCCAAGGACACAATAAATGACCAGCAGTTGGATTTGAACCCCTGACCCTCTGATCATGAGTCACAAACCCTAACCACTAGGCCACACTCCCCCCAACTTATACCGGTACCCATTAATACTCCTGGGTGGAGAGAGGCAAGTTGGAGTGAAGTGGCTTGCCCAAGGACACAATAAATGACCAGCAGCTGCATTCGAACCCCTGACCATCTGATCATGAGTCACAAACTCTAACCCTCTCCCCAATTGACAACAAAGCATAGACATTATTCTCTGTCAGCCACTAACAGACAGATGTTACTCACCAATGGGTGTGCCTCGGCGCTAGGGGTGTGTATCAACATGAACATTTCGGATGCAACCTCCGCCTTCTGGGGCACAAAGTACGGCTTGGGTGACATGCTCCGGATCAGCCTGACCCCGCCCGCTCTCTGGACACGCCTACATATGCAAAACAGAGGCTCATCATTATGTGCATAAATGAATACCAAATACAAAGTCTCAGGAACTCACAGCAGGCTTGAAACTAGAGTTTAGTTGGGTCATTTTAAGGAAGAAGAAGAAGTCTAAGTAGAAATCCCAAGTATCTCAGATGGGGTTGTTTGATATTTAAACCTAGTAACAATGAATGGTCGGTCTAGCATCATCTGCCATGAATTAGCCTATGCAGGGTCTGGAGGCTGAAGAGGCTGAAGCTGACCACCAAATGGAGCATCTACTGGACGTATCGTCACCGTTTTGATGAAGTGACGCATCTGTACACACAGATGCAAAACCAAGTTTTGAGAAAATTGTGTTTGAAATTGGTAGGTTTTTCAATTTGCATTTTTGTGTACATTTCTCCCCCAGAATTAAAAAATATATAACTTAGACAATAGCCCAGGAGTGAAATAGCCAAAAACAATTCTCTCTGTTCATAAAATCATGTTAAATTAGAAGATATTAATTACTAAAGATATATATCGTTTATAAAATGTATACATTTTAGAACGCAGATGCGTCACTTCGTCAAAACGCAAATCGTGGAGGCTTCATATCTCTAAATATACATGTGTAGCACACGTGTAAAATCAATGAGACTAAGTGACACATAGATATCCGTCACTTCGTCAAAACGAAAAACTTAGTGTGTAGCACTTTCAACACTTTGTGTAATTAGCGTAATTAACAAATGATGGAATGTTGTGTCTCGAAACTTGCTAATCATGTAGAGGACATCATAAAATGACTACCAAAAATCTCAGATTTCAGAAAATCTCGTTTTTGGATGGATGCATCACTTCCTCAAAACGGTGACGGTATGTCATCCCTGTCCTACTCTACGGATCAGAGACCTGGACCCTTCTCAAAGCGATTTAAGTCGGCTCGAATCATTCCATCTAAGGTGTCAGAGATCCATCCTAGGCATTTGCTGCTTCATCAGCAACAAAGATGTCACCCGCAGTGCTCAACTGCCTGCAATGGCCTCCCTAATCCTTCGCCGGCATCGTGCCCTCTTCAGCCACGCCGTAGGCCTTGATGATAACACCCCAGCCAAGAAGGCACTCGGCATCACTTTTGACTCCTGGAAAGGTCAACCCCTGGCTTTTGGCTGGACAAGGCCCAGAGGTCGCCCAGAAAGACCCTGGATAGATCAACTGAATTGATCAGCAGGAGATCAGCACAACTGACCAAAGCTGTCTCTGCGGCTAAGTGAGTGAGTGAACAATAAATGCACAAAAGGTTTATTCATGCCTATCCTAGCGATACAAAACCATTGCTCTCCAACTCCGACTTAATGCATAATATAACGTCTATATTTTAACATCTTTTTTTGATTTACTTCAATTTTGAGTCTTGTAATTTCCTCTTCACCTACCAATAGAATGACTTAGACCAAGTAAAAAAATAAACCAGCCCCCCCCCCCTTCCTTTTTCCTGCCTGACTGCTTTTTTGGGGGGATTTTTTTTTCATTTCATACATTTGCAATATTTTGCAAATTCGGCAATACATGTCTTTCTATTTGTTTACTACAAATTTGTACCCATGTAGAAAGGGTGACAGCTCGTTTGGACCAAATTTTGTATCAGCAAAAGAATCAAGAAAATGGAAGAACACACCCGCCAACTTGGAAAATCTGCCATCTTGAATAAAACAAAATGGGGGCTGCCTCCTTTATTTTTTCCAAAAGCCTGGATGAGAAATAGTCCGAGTAACTTGGACCCAACTTATCGCCTTTTTTAACATTTGGACATGGTCTGGCGATAGTAGGGTCCAAGCCCATTCCGAGACCTAGACAACACAGTCACTGACAGTCCCAAAAACCAACATTTTCCAACAAAAAACATCAGATTTCACCTTCAAAATGGCCTCCAAATTACTAGATATGCCACCTGAGGTACAAGTAGACATCGATAATTAAGATGGTTGTACTGAAGTTTACTTACGATCCGGAAAAAAGTGAAATTTTCCGTTCATTTCGGAGAGCTCCCCTCGCGATCTTGAACACGTTAAATTTCCGATCATGTTTAATGTTTGAACGACGCGATTTCTTCTACATGCCCAGCGTACATTTGATGGTCCCCGTATCCCGAGTGCGATTCCGTTACCGAGCGCGCGCGATGCATCGATTATGATAATGAGTAGACTGGATCACGTTTGTAAACACATGTGCATTTCAAACGATAATAGGGAGTCGGGAACTAGCGCAGCTTTTATGGCGGATACTAGTTCAACCTGGTTCCCGATTCTCTTTTACAGTTCGAAATGCACATGTATGTGTTTACAAACGTGACTCATTATCATAATCGATGCATCGCGCGCGCTCGGTAACGGAATCGCACTCATGATATGGGACCATCGAATTTACGCTGGGCATGTAGAAGAAATCGCGTCGTTCAAACATTAAACACGATCGGAAATTTAACGTGTTCAAGATCGCGAGGGGAGCTCTCCAAAATGGAAGGAAAATTTCACTTTTTTTCCGGATCGTAAGTAAACTTCAGTACAACCATCTTAATTATCGATGTCTACTTGTACCTCAGGTGGCATGTCTAGTAATTTGGAGGCCGTTTTGAAGGTGAAATCTGATGTTTTTTGTTGGGAAAATGTTGGTTTTTGGGACAGTGACAGGATGATGTTGTCCAGGTCGCGGTATTAGCTTGGACCTTACTATCGCCAGACCATGTCCAAATGTTAAAAAAGGCGATAAGTTGGGTCCAAGTTACTCGGACTAGATGAGAAAGTATTATTTTATTCGGCCTTATGTGCTCACCACTCTAAATGAAAATCGGTGCCCAGGAGATCCCCCATGTTCCTGGTAGGGGTCAAGAGGTCATCGATGCTGCGGATGTAGGCGTTGTTGCTCTTGACATTGAGGGCGCTGTAGCTGAGCTGGTCGGCGTTGTCCAGGTAGAGCGACTTGAGATCGTTGAATGTCACCTGGCTGATGTTGGCATCCTGGGTAGGGACGGGGAGGGGCAAGTCATGGGGAAGGGGGAGGGGAGGGAAGACAGTCAAACAGTTGATTATTTCAGTACAACTGGACAGTTGTACTAAATGCCGGAATTGCAGCAATTGTGGCTTGCTTAACTTTCCATTTAGCTAGCAAAGATCTACTTAATCTTCACTAACTTTTCGATAATCCTTACTTTTACGACCCCGTTCCTATATAGAAAGGGAAAAACTCACCAAAACAGTTGACTAAATGACACTCAAAATTGACATTCTGATATTTCTTGGCACATCTGAACAATTGGCAGTGACACCTTCTTGAATATCAGCAGGTTTAATTTTGTGAAAAGAGGGCAGGGCTTTGATTTATGAGGGAAATTAAGGAGTAAAAGACGACGGTGACAACCAGAAAACGGACTCAAAAACCAAGATGGCAAACATGAAAGCTTGAGGCAATGAAAGCTTGATGCTGATTGACTGATACAAAAATAAACATCTTATTAATTTTTTTAGCAGCCAATCAGCATTGAGCTTTCATTATGTAGGGCTTTCACTCATGTTTTGAGAACTACAACATGCACCTGACTGCAAAAAAAAAAAGGTAGGAAAGTCACATTTTCGTTGAAAGCGCTTTCAAAATTACAACTAACATGAGTTTATATGAAGAAAAAAGACTGCTTTAGCCTGCAAAAGTCACTTTGGTACTGGACAGTCATCTGCAAAAGTCAGTTTTGAACAGAACTCGTAAAAAATAGAGGTATCCTAAAGATAAGGATTACCAACTTTTCATTACTGCCTGCCTAACTTTTAATTTAGCTAGTGGCAAGCGAGCTGCTATGAGTGGCACTAGTAACTAATAACACGCTAAGCAGGAAAAGCCTGCCTGATTTCTTGAGTGGCTTGCTTAACTTGCTTAACTAGACACTTAGTAAATTTCCTTACTGTTCAATGAGTCAGCCAGCCACTCAGTGAGAAGCTTGCTTATCTTTTCACAAAGCTAGCAAAGCCTGTAAGTAGCTTGCCTAACTTTCCATTTAATAGCTTCCATTCATCTACATGTTTATCCTGAAAAGCTTGCCTAACCTTTTATTCAGCTCCTAAGTCAAAACTTGCCTTTTTTTTCATTGAGTCAACAAGTAACTTTGCGTAGCTTGCCTGTATTTACATGAAACCACAAAGCCAAAGTTTGTACCTAATTTACTCTTTTTCCAGTGTGTCATCACGCCACTGTGAGACACTCGCCTATAGATCTCTTCATGAAGTTACAGGCAAACTTTCGCTTTACTGAGCAAGCAATCAACAGGAAATACACTTTACCTTTCATTTCACTGAACAGACACTTCAAACTCATACAAAATATGCTGCTAAAATGTGCGGTAAAAATTACCTTGACGACAAATGGTATCGCAGAGTGATAGTAGTATCGTGTGAAATTGCGCAGATTCCGGAAAGTATGGACTTTAGGGATCTCCTCACATGGCCAGCAGTCCACTTGATCATAACTGCCGAAGAAAGGATTGGCAACCAGACATTCCTGCTCATGGAGGCCTGAAAATATCAAGAATGAATATGGATGTTGTAACCATTGTGCGAATTCATTAGAAGCGGTGTCAGAATTAAGTGGGATCCGACATGATATTGCTTTAAAAGCACAAGAAAAACCGGGAAAGAATGTCCTACCCTGACCCTACACTTCTAAATTCTAGTCGTGTACACAGTTTCAGGAGAGTCTTAAACTTTTTAAAAGTATTTTTGAACACTGTTGTAGAATTTGTAAATGTTTCTTAGTCCAAAATATAATAATAGATACTAATAATGGCATTTATTAAGCACACTTTTGTTCAACATACAGACATTTGCAATGTTGCCAATTAATGTTGTTATTGATCGGGTCTGAGTGACGTCATCCGATGAAAATATTCATTTGCACATCAGTTTGCACCGGTTGCTATGTGTTACCATTCAGCACTCCAGACTCAAGAACCATTGAGTTTCAAGAACATAGGTCTGGGAGCTAGATAAGCCGATGTAACAATTTCCTGAATGTCCACACCCACCACGCCTACCTATATTATGATGAAATATGTAACGTCAGGATTTTGCTTTAACATGTTTTTAAAAAAACAACTTTAACTTAAGTTAATCCGCCTCCTCTAACGTGAGGACGTTGTAAATTTTTTTTATAAATAATTTAACAAACCTAATGTTAGGCCAATAAAAAAAAAACATGTTTAGTGTCTGGGTTTTTTTTTTAAAAGGAGGGGGCGGGCTTTTTACAAATTTTTTATTTTCAAGATAGCCAACAACCGTTGGTTTTTACACAGTTCAAAGAAACAAAAAATGAAACAGACATGCTGGACAAGAGAATTAAACATATTTTAAGTGTTTTTTTAACTTTTACAAGTACAAGAATTAAAAAACACTGCTGCGCGGGCATTCTTGTCCATGTCGAGGCTGGTTTGGAGATCGCAGGGTCGACTGCATGAAAATTAGAAGTTCCGACTTGCAAGCATTTGATTCTATAATGGATCAGTCGACATTTTTGCTTTTTTCAAAAAAAAAAAACCCAAAAAAGAAAATCCAAGCGGCCGCCAAAAAGGAAGCGGACGGGGACGCTAAACATTTTTTTTTTTTTTTAATTTTTACTTGATAGTGGATATTTTGCCGGAGGTAATGACAGCAAACTAACGTTTACTAAAGGTTTGCCGGCGGCAATCCATATCAACAGAGGGCGCTGTACTCTTTAAGATAGGGCTGAATTATAACATGTATTAAATTCCCACCAAAACTTGCAAAAGTGCCTTTTTACTTCGCCTTACTCTTTTTTTCAGCTTGTCATCAATAATATATTTGACATTATTAGCAAGAACTGCCTTACCAGATAAATCAATAACCGCCCTCAACGGCAGGGACGCAATCCTAATCGCCCTCATCATCGGGTACAGGAAATCCTGCGTGTGCCGCATAGCGAACATCTTCGTGGGTTTGTGATAAGCCACCAACCCGTACACCGCCAACAACACCACGAAAACACCGAAGATGGACAGCCCAAAACACCGGCATGCTCGGCCTCTACGGGGCTTTGGTGGCCTTTTATCGGCCGCTAAGGCCTGCTGGAAACACGAATCTATGTCCGTGTCGTCCAATCCCCAGGATTTGCCGAGTTCGCGGAGTTTTCTCGCGTCTTCGGCGAGGGAGTCGTACAATCTATCTTGTTGAGCGGCCATTTTTCGTTTCCTGTGTTTGGTACTTCCGCATATATTATGCAATCATTAATATTAGACTAGCAAACCAGTCGCCGATTGGCCGCTAATCAAGCTTTGAAAAGGAGTGTGTTTCGTTAACCCCATATTTAGAGATCAATTCCCCTCCAAAATCTAAACCTGGCAGTTGACTTGGAATTTCCTCAGTCTTAGCAAAACTATCCATCGATTCTCATCTGAAAAATAACTTTCTGAGCGCCTTGGATAACACAACAAGAATGATTTTTTCCCGGTCCATGAATGAACCATGAATGAACAAAGTTCCAACTTAGCTCGGAGAACAGTTTTAATAATTACAACTGCACTGCTTTCAAAACCCATTTGAGAACAAATACGACACATTTTAAGGGCATGCAAAGTTGTAATTTGTTTCATTTTCCTTATTTACTAGGGCCTAGGAGAAAAAATAATTGCTCCTGCCGACCCCGCCCCCTAAATTTGCCGTATTTTTTTTGATAGACATGTTGAAGTGCGCCCTCTGTATATACTCAGTAAATCCATACAACTGACACCAACTCATGTAACGAGTTAATTGTATTTTGATTGGTCAATCTGAAAGTTTCTAAATCTCAATTATGACCAAATTTTAACATAAACTTTTCTCTTTGTAATGCTATTTAAGAACATTGAATTAATTTACATTTGTTTAATCATCCAGAAGTATTTAATGAAAAAGGTAAAGAAAAAAAGTGAGTTAAATGTTATGAAATCCTACTTCGATATTAGCCAATGAACACACGTGTCACAAATTAAATCTGATTTAGATAGCCCCGCCCGGCGCACGTACATGAATTTCTGAATTTTAACACCAGGCTGATCTTGGCACGAAAATTGGGCCGGATTTTCGGCTGGCCGGATTTTCGGATAGGTACTATTTTTACGGCGGCGCGCCGCCGTGAAGATTACCACTACGGTGGCCCTAGACAGCCATTGCAAATAAACCTTAGGAGAAAACGAATTATAAAGAAAGTTCAACTTCTTATCACAGTAAGTTACCTTAAATAACTGAAACTGTTGTTTATTCGACTCTAAAGTAAATCGTAATGAAAACTGTGGCAATTTATTTTCAGAATTGGGAATGTTAATGTTATGAATTTTAACGTTACTGAATAAAGGTTCTGCCTTATAGCCTATGAGAGGGCGCTATATCCGCCAGACTGCCACTCAAGTAGTGGTGCGTTGCGGGAAAGACCGGGTCTCAGGCATGAGAATCCTGTTTAAACAGGAATTCCTATTTGTTTTTTGCCAAAATGTCCCGGGGATGCCTCATTTCACATTTTTCTTTCTTTCTTTTTCATAAAAATTAATGTTCAAACGGCCCTGCCGCAATTTCTTTTCCCAGACTACAGGGTTGTTTAGCGCCCTCTACGATACTTTTATGACACGTACGTACGCAGGTAAAGAAAATACGGATATCCCATTTTGAAATGATTTTGTACCATCCTAAATGTCCGAAATGTCCCATTTCCAGTTGTATACACGGGTTCAGGGACTCTCAAAGTGTATTCTATTCCCGCCCCGAATAAATCAGTATTGAAATAGAGCCAGCCCAATTAAATTAATCCAACGATTGATCATTACGATACAAAAGACCGGTTTTTGCAAAGAAAATGCGGATATCCCATTTTGAAATGATTTTGTACCATCCTAAATGTCCGAAATGTCCCATTCCACTTGTATACACGGGTTCAGGGACTCTCAAACTGTATTCTATTCGCGCCCCGAATAAATCAGTATTGAAACAGAGTCAGCCTAATTAAATTAATCCAACGATTGTTAATTACGATACAAAAGACCGGTTTTTGCAAAGAAAATACGGATATCCCATTTTGAAATGATTTTGTACCATCCTAAATGTCCGAAATGTCCCGATCCAATTGCATACACGGGTTCAGGGACTCTCAAAGTGTATTCTATTCGCGCCCCGAATCAATCGGTATTGAAACAGAGTCAGCCTAATTAAATTAATCCAACGATTGTTAATTACGATACAAAAGACCGGTTTTTGCAAAGAAAATACGGATATCCCATTTTGAAATGATTTTGTACCATCCTAAATGTCCGAAATGTCCCAATCCAATTGCATACACGGGTTCAGGGACTCTCAAAGTGTATTCTATTCGCGCCCCGAATAAATCGGTATTGAAACAGAGTCAGCCCAATTAAATTAATCCAACGATTGATAATTAACGTACAAAACAGCCGTTTTACAACGAAAATACGGATATCCCATTTTGAAATGATTTTGTACCATCCTAAATGTCCGAAATGTCCCGATCCAATTGCATACACGGGTTCAGGGACTCTCAAAGTGTATTCTATTCGCGCCCCGAATAAATCGGTATTGAAACAGAGTCAGCCCAATTAAATTAATCCAACGATTGTTAATTACGATACAAAAGACCGGTTTTTGCAAAGAAAATACGGATATCCCATTTTGAAATGATTTTGTACCATCCTAAATGTCCGAAATGTCCCATTCCACTTGTATACAAGGGTTCAGGGACTCTCAAAGTGTATTCTATTCGCGCCCCGATTAAATCGGTATTGAAACAGAGTCAGCGTAATTAAATTAATCCAACGATTGATAATTAACGTACAAAACAGCCGTTTTACATAGAAAATACGGATATCCCATTTTGCTATGATTTTGTACCATCCTAAATGTCCGAAATGTCCCGTTCCAATTGCATACACGGGTTGAGGGACATCCAAAGTGTATTCTATTCGCGCCCCGAATCAATCGGTATTGAAACAGAGTCAGCCCAATTAAATTAATCCAACGATTGTTAATTACGATACAAAAGACCGGTTTTTGCAAAGAAAATGCGGATATCCCATTTTGAAATGATTTTGTACCATCCTAAATGTCCAAAATGTCCCGATCCAATTGCATACACGGGTTCAGGGACTCTCAAAGTGTATTCTATTCGCGCCCCGAATAAATCGGTATTGAAACAGAGTCAGCCTAATTAAATTAATCCAACGATTGATAATTAACGTACAGAACAGCCGTTTACGACGAAAATACGGATATCCCATTTTGATATGATTTTGTACCATCCTAAATGTCCGAAATGTTCCGTTCCAATTGCATACACGGGTTGGGGGACATCCAAAGTGTATTCTATTCGCGCCCCGAATAAATCGGTATTGAAACAGAGCCAGCCTAATTAAATTAATCCAACGATTGTTAATTACGATACAAAAGACCGGTTTTTGCAAAGAAATTACGGATATCCCATTTTGAATTGATTTTGTACCATCCTAAATGTCCGAAATGTCCCATTCCACTTGTATACACGGGTTCAGGGACTCTCAAACTGCATTCTATTCGCGCCCCGAATAAATCAGTTTTGAAACAGAGTCAGCCTAATTAAATTAATCCAACGATTGATAATTACGATACAAAAGACCGGTTTTTGCAAAGAAAATACGGATGTTCCATTTTGAAATGATTTTGTACCATCCTAAATGTCCGAAATGTCCCGTTCCACTTGTATACACGGGTTTAGGGACTCTCAAAATGTAATCTATTCGCGCCCCGAATAAATCGGTATTGAAACAGAGTCAGCCCAATTAAATTAATCCAACGATTGTTAATTACGATACAAAAGACCGGTTTTTGCAAAGAAAATACGGATGTTCCATTTTGAAATGATTTTGTACCATCCTAAATGTCCGAAATGTCCCGTTCCACTTGTATACACGGGTTTAGGGACTCTCAAAGTGTATTCTATTCGCGCCCCGAATAAATCGGTATTGAAACAGAGTCAGCCTAATTAAATTAATCCAACGATTGATCATCACGATACAAAAGACCGGTTTTTGCAAAGAAAATACGGATATCCCATTTTGAAATGATTTTGTACCATCCTAAATGTCCGAAATGTCCCATTCCAGTTGTATACACGGGTTCAAGGACTCTCAAAGTGTATTCTATTCCCGCCCCGAATAAATCAGTATTGAAATAGAGCCAGCCCAATTAAATTAATCCAACGATTGATCATTACGATACAAAAGACCGGTTTTTGCAAAGAAAATGCGGATATCCCATTTTGAAATGATTTTGTACCATCCTAAATGTCCGAAATGTCCCATTCCACTTGTATACACGGGTTCAGGGACTCTAAAACTGTATTCTATTCGCGCCCCGAATAAATCAGTATTGAAACAGAGTCAGCCTAATTAAATTAATCCAACGATTGATAATTACGATACAAAAGACCGGTTTTTGCAAAGAAAATACGGATGTTCCATTTTGAAATGATTTTGTACCATCCTAAATGACCGAAATGTCCCGTTCCAATTGCATACACGGGTTCAGGGACTCTCAAAGTGTTTTCTATTCGCGCCCCGAATAAATCGGTAATGAAACAGAGTCAGCCTAATTAAATTAATCCAACGATTGATAATTAACGTACAAAACAGCCGTTTTACAACGAAAATACGGATATCCCATTTTGAAATGATTTTTTACCATCCTAAATGTCCGAAATGTCCCGATCCAATTGCATACACGGGTTCAGGGACTCTCAAAGTGTATTCTATTCGCGCCCCGAATAAATCGGTATTGAAACAGAGTCAGCCTAATTAAATTAATCCAACGATTGATAATTAACGTACAAAACAGCCGTTTAACAACGAAAATACGGATATCCCATTTTGATATGATTTTGTACCATCCTAAATGTCCGGAATGTCCCGTTCCAATTGCATACACGGGTTGAGGGACTCTCAAAGTGTATTCTATTTGCGCCCCGAATAAATCGGTATTGAAACAGAGCCAGCCCAATTAAATTAATCCGACGATTGATCATCACGATACAAAAGACCGGTTTTTGCAAAGAAATTACGGATATCCCATTTTGAAATGATTTTGTACCATCCTAAATGTCCGAAATGTCCCATTCCACTTGTATACACGGGTTCAGGGACTCTCAAACTGCATTCTATTCGCGCCCCGAAAAAATCAGTTTTGAAACAGAGTCAGCCTAATTAAATTAATCCAACGATTGATAATTACGATACAAAAG